TGGGAGGCAGATGTTTCCGTCTGAGTTGTAACCTTGGAAGCCCCATGAAAGAGTTTCTCCATGTCTTATGGGGTCTCTATGATTGGACTCAACTTGACATCAATAGATGTCGTTTTAGCTATTCACTGTACATTCACTGCACGGGACTGGACAGCGCTTCATTTTCTTGTCCTTGGTGCTGTGAGCTGGAGTCCACTCCATGGCCCCTGATAAGAACAATCTAGCTTTCTTTCTCCTACTCTCTTATTGGCCCCTGCCCATAATTTTTGGGCGATTATTTGTAACACAAAATCATGTACCACAGTGAGTTTATTGCTGAACTATTTCATGCATTTATGAGTTGTTTGATTAAAAGCTCCTGCCATAGCCTGAAATTTCCTTTTAGTAGTAGTGAATACATTCAATATAGATTCATAAGCAATTCAATGTATTAATTTTGTTTAAAGAAGTGTAGTTGTGAACACATAAATGTTAATATTTTTATTTTCTATTGTCTTTACAATATGGTACATTATTTACACGTTCACAAAAGTAGCAAACCATGAGATGGAACAAGTTGATATACCATAACTATATCTTTCTAGTATTTAAAAATGATAATGGGAACTTTCATGATTGCCACCACATTGGAAATATGGTACTGGGGTTCATTCGCACTCTACTTAGATGATGGCTCTTCCAAAAGATGTTTTAGGATCAGCCTAACTTTTACTAGCGTGCGGGGACTTGGTGGCTTATGCATTGGGCTACTCAGGTCAGTGGTTGTTTTAGGTTTCTGGGCTGGTTGGCCTCAGTTCTTGATTCTCAATGTTGAAACAATTCACTTGGCAGAAGCACTTTTGTAAATCCAAATAAGTTTAATGAGGGAAAGGGAAACTTCAGGTATTACAGTCTCAGGTAGTACATGCTATTCCTAGAAAGCACACAAGGCCGCATGGCGGGGGCCATGGGAGAGTTTTCAACGGATAGTGGCCACTTCAGGAAAGTGCAAAAATCCATATGGCAAAAATGACAGCTAAGAGGAGTCCACAGAATTGAAAAAAGAAATCTTGGAACCAAAATGGGGAGAAAAGAGTGCGTGCCCTGAGAGGGTGCGTGCGTCGTGTGTGTGTGTGTGTGTGTGTGTGTGTGCACCTCGCACACAGAAGAGATCCTGCCTTCTGACTTGAGAGAGAGAGTGGCCTGCCCTCAGTCTCTGCTATTTATCCCCTCCTAGCCCCACTTGGGAGGAGTGAGGGGGCGTGGTTGAAGGTATTGGCCTTTCTTAGTAGCTGAGCTCAGGTGCACCTGTGTCAGACATGACATCGATGGTGCCTAAAGTATGTACCCAGGTTGACCTTCACCTGTGTTTAGGTGACCCTGGTCTGAGCACGCCCGGTATTGAATTGCCCCCATTGATATCTAATTGTGTGCCTGTTTTCTTTCCAACCCTTTTATTGCGACATCGCCATCTAAGTTTTGTTTAGCTTAGGCATTCGATGAGACGACCCCCTTTATCCCTAATCTTTCTACCTTTTAGTTTGAAGCCACCAGTTACTCTCCCTGAGAAAGATGAGGCTTTCTGCTTCCATAAAGATTTACAGCCTTAAAAACTCTACAGAGTAGTTCTGCTCTACAGGACTCTGTAGCGTGTCAGGGTGGCCAACCCCTAACAATAATCAACCACGGGTCCATAGGCGCAACGGCACGACATAATATATAAAGATGATAGTAAAGTCATAGCGAATAGGAGAGAGGAGAGAGTAAACTAAAGGAGTCAGACACATTCATGTGGCATGCTCACCTCAGCCCTGCTTGGTGGTCCACGTGGGGATGGGAGATGAGAGGAGGAGGAGAGGAGGGAAGGTAGCCATTAGTCATGCATATTCAGGAGTTACAGACGTAACAGAAGGTGGGTGGTAATCACAGTAAAATCCCTGCGCTCACAGGTGAGGAAGCCCAATACCTGCATTGGGGGAAGGCATTAGGGGGCTGGGGGCCTTGACAGGAGGAGATCTACAAGGAGACAGAGTCAACCATGAGCTCACGTTAAGACAGCAGAGCTGTTAGGGGAGAGTCTGCGGGAGTGACATTCATTAGTTTCCCACAATAGGGTCTCTAGGCGCTAGAACAGACTCAATGGTAGGGGGTTTTGTTTTGTTTCTGATGTACTGAATTTTTTCTTTTTTAAAAAAACCTTGTTTCTTATGTTCTTCTGGTATACCAAAACACACTGCCATCGGGCCAATTCTAACTCATAACAACATGGTTTAGGGTTTCTGAGACTCTTTACTTATGGAGTGGCTGGTGGATTTGAATCACCAACCTTGAGGTGAGTAGCCAACTATCTAATTCACAGTGTCACCAGGGCTCCTTTGTCTATGGTATTTTCACCACAAGTTGAATTGATCAATTTTTGTTCATTATCCAGCTTTCTCCTGATTTTGAAGCTATTGAGAAGATCATAATTTGAATCAGCTGCACCTCAATCATCAAAATGTTATCTTTGCTTTTTAAAAATTTAAAGATATTTTTATAGCAGATTTTTGCAATTCACTTTGTTTTCTTTATTACCTGCCTGCTGCTCCCCTGGACACTGATTGTTGAGAGAATGAATATTTATGAAATAATGCAATCTACCATAGTTCACTCTTCTGTTAAAAAATACTCCTTCCCTTCCTATAAACAAATGCAGTTGCCTCTCCTAAAGATGATTTAACTTTTTAAAAATTCTGCTCACTTCACCAGCATATATACTAAAATTGAACGATAGAGAAGATTAGTATGATCCCGGCACAAGGATGGCATACAGATTTGTGAACCAAAATCCAATCAAGCTCAGTGCCAACTCATAGTGACCCTTTCGGGCAGGGTAGAGATGTTGTCCCTTTGGGATTCTGAGACTTTAAATCTTTACATGAATAGACAGTGTCAGCTTTTTCTCTCGAAAGAGCTGGTGGATTGGAACCACTGACCTGGGGGATAGTAGCTTAATGCATAATACATTATACTACCAGCACTCCTTACAAATTTTGGGAATTGTCCCTATTTTTAGGAGGGATGAAAATAGGGATCCCAAGGAGGAAGCAGAAAGACTCCTGCTACATTGATGGAATTGCAATCAAGGCCAACAAATAAAATACGTATAAATTGTTGAATGGAAAACAAGTTTGCTCTGTAAATTGTCACCAAAATTGCAATAAAAGCTTCAAAATATTTACCTATTAAATTTTAATTTTAAATAAAGTCACATTCTGAGCTTCTGGGAAGGACATGAAATTTGTGGGGACACTCTTTAACCCAACACAATTCGGTTTTAAACTGTGGAGTCACCAGTCTCATCAACAGCCCCACAGGATTGTATGACTCTACACATGACTGAAAACTGAATAATCACAGTGAATTCCCAAATTGGCATACCCGGGATGGAGTGGGCATTTCCACGTATGCAAATTCAAGATGAAAGGCAAACATCGGTTGACTAGACTGAATTGTGGCCTGGCATTTTTTTTTCTCCAGCATGTTTTGTGGATGGAATTCTCAAAGTTGAAAATAGACTTGACTGTTGTTAATGTGGGAATTGTTTTATGATCAAGGGCAACCACTGACAAGAGGGAAATTGCCTTGAGGTTTATAGTTTACATATCTGATCTGGAAGAAAACACAAGTGTGTCTACCACCAATTTGCCAGCTATAGGGAAAAACAATCAGGAATGGGAAGTAAGTTTAACTGTATTGCTTTTCAAGCTGTGATTTTGAATTTGGGGTAAGCAGTGTGAAGGAATGTGAAGGAATCTTCAGAGTATCCTTATTCTGTCTGAGCGAGAAGTCTGCCCCGTAGATGAGTCGGTAAGACCTATAACAGGGATGACAGCATGGATAGACTCCCTTGTCCCTTTGACGTGGATAACTGGGGAATGTTGACATGCTAATAATAAGCATAAAAGAATAACATTTCTGGTTCAGGTTGTACTCAATATGCTGTATTTTAAAAACATATTTAAAAACATATCTAAACCATAAACTAAGATCTGAGAAAATGTGGTTTTGTGAAGTATGCCCTACAGAATTTCAGCATATCCACTTTTATTGAAGATTTACTTCTTACTTCCTTAATGTATGCATATAATGTCATTGACTATCACTATGTGGCCAGACCAATGATAAAAAGGATAGTTACAGTCAATGAAACAAACATTTTAGAAATGAGAAGTTAGAGAGATACTTTGCTACTGTAATATTAACTAATTGCATATGATCCTTTTTTAAAACAAATCATTTTATTGGGGCCTCATACAACTCATCACATTCCATACATTCATCCACTGTGTCAAGCATATTTGTACATTTGTTGCCCTCATCATTCTCAAACATTTGCTTTCTACTTGAGTCCTTGGTATCATCTTTCACATTTCCCCTCCCTCCTCAACCCCCCCTTAAAATTATTTTTCTAAAAAAAAAAGTACAGCCAAATGCTCCTGGTAAACAAGGATGCCAAGACTTTATCTCATACTGTGGACAGGTTATTAGGAGACCAGTCCCTGGAAAAGGACATTATGCTTCATAAAGTAGGTGGTTAGGGGGAAAATACAAACCCTCAAATATCTGGATTGACATAGTAGCTACAACAATGAGGTCAAATGTAACAGCTGTGAGGATGGTGCTGGCACTGACTTGATGGCATGTATTAGGTTTGAAAGAGTTTTTAAAGCAATACAAAAATGTGTAGTGAAGATTCAAACTTCCTTATTTCTTTCTCCAAAATATTGCTATTGTTACTGTTATTTTCTCCTTCTGGACAGATTTTCTGGATAAATACTGACAGATAAGTTCTTAGGCTTACACAAACAGAAGTATAAAACACACTGTTCTGCCTCTTGCTTTTTTATTAACAAATAGACCTACCTCATTTAAGTACACAATTCATTCCACTGAATACTGCTAATGGGGACTGAAGGTTTCGTCTTGGGAGTGAAGAGGTTTTGGTTACACATTCTTGTGAATATGCTAAAAAGCAGTACCTTGTACACTTTTAAATGGTGAATTTTGTGGTATGTAAACTATAGCTAAAAATAAAAACTAGGACCCTCAATATGTTCTGAGGTGATGTAATCTCCAACATATGTCAACATTTTTAAAAAAGTACAGAATAATTGTGGTTTGAAACTATCTGCTTAAAAAAACTTCTATACATATCTTTTTATAAGCACAAAACCTGAAAGGATATCTAAGACCAGTAACAGTATTTCCTAAAGGAAGGCCATCTGAGGTGGCTGACAGACTGTAGTGTCTTGGTGTGAATTTTATTTTATTTTAGTTTCAATATTATATTTTAAAATGAGAGTTGGAATAGGCCTGATGTCAGCCTTTATGGAAAGGAAGCTCATTGGTGTGAATTTTAATAAAGTGCTATCGCCACTTCCATTTTTTTAAAAAATTTGATTATTAATAGAGGAAACTGATGCTGTAAGTCAGAAGTTTAATTTTAAAAGATCACCTTTATTTTATTTTGTAATAAATTCATCAGATATTCACCCACTTAGACTTATTTATCCTTTAACAGTTGAAGCATTAAACAATGACAATCTTTACTCTCAACCCTAAATAATGTTATACTCAATATAGTTCAAATGGTTTTGCTTTCTCATAGAGATAAAAGAACCCAGGCATAAACCTTTGATACTTTCCGCTTGCCAGTCCTGCAAGAAAATTTTAATATGAAACTGTTACTGATACTTGGACAATTTCTTTGATGGGCAGCGAGAGCTCAGTAAGAGTGACCATCATGTGGCTAGTCTTGACAGTCAAGAGCTATGATCTTTCATCCATTGTTCCATCTATTTTAATATCTGCTTTATATGATTCTCTAGATCTTCTGGTTTGTTGCTAGATAGCCGATGTACTATTTCTTCCTGTAGGATGCCATGGCTTCTTCATAGAGAACTTGAAAAATCTCACACTAAATATTGTCTTTTTGTACAATACACTGTTATCTGTTCTCAGCATATAAACTATATGAAGCCAGCATTCAGGGAAGAAACCACAACCACGGTAATCAATAATAACTCCACCTTCTTTCATTTGGTTTTCTAACTCACCAACTCCTCTATCTTCATCTAAAATGGGACAGCCATACTCTTCCTCGCAGCCCTCATACAGCTGCCCTTCTTTAGCTAAATCACCCACATGAATGCATTTCAGTCCTGATCTTGATGCAAGTCCTTTGCCTAGTGTGGTTTTTCCAACCCCTGGTGTACCGTTGAGTAAGATGTTTGGCTGCAGCATGGTCTTTACAGCAATGGCCCATATGCTCCTTTTATCACCCAAACATTAGATGCATGGCAATATATTTGCACGGCAGGCCCACCATGGCCTGTCTGGTTGTTGCTGGAATCTGCGTCTCTGTTGTTCTCGTGTTAGACAACAATATGGAAAATCCAATGTTTGCTTTAGGTGCCGTTTGTTTATCCAAGATTTCATTGCTCTTTTGCTAAAACCACTCCTTTTTCTCCGTCCTCCCATGGATGGGCTGCTTAACCAATCAGGAACTTACCACTCTGCTTATCAGTGGATGTACATGATAGAATCACAGGAGATAAGTGTATTTTCACTCATCCTATAGGTGAGTAAACTGATAGACCAGACATTAATTTGCTTGGCTCATAAAGCAATTAGGCTGATATGTAAAACACATCTTTCTGACTTGAAGAAAATCCATGGTTCCGACACTTGCCTCGTGTCTCCTAGTGTAAAGCAATTGCTTAGAGGGAAGAACTATTTAAACTAAAGTGTAAATGACTGTCATGCGCCCTCTCCCTCTGCTTCCCCCTTTTGTTTTTTACATTAAAAAACCTTCTTCATTCAAATTAATTTATAATTGGATTCATTTCACGCACACTGACAAGAGGAAACGGAGCATTTTCAGCAAACCAAAGAGCATCTGGGGTGGGAGTGAAGCACCGACCGGCGCCATCCAGAGTCGCTTTGAGTCGCTCCCTAAACTGACCGTGGCCTCGCATGAGCCGGTGCTTTCTGTAGGAGCAGACCTAGTGTCACAGACATACACAGCAGCTCCACCGTGCTCACCCCTTGTTTCAAAACGCTGAGCATCTCTTAATCCTGTTACTAAAAAGAAAAGACCAAAGCAAGTCAGTGAGTTGGATGAATACAAAATATTTTAATTTTCCTGTTTAAGTACATGAACTGTTGGTAGTAGGAGCTCATTAATTAATCCAATTTATACAGATTTAGAATGTCTGTTCTCAAGCATAAGTGTTCTACTTGTCCTCATTCATAATTATCAGGGAATTTTGATTTTTCCTTTAATTTATTATTGTAATAATAATTTTTTATTATTATTGTATTTTTGTGGACTTTTTCTTTCTCTTCCTTGCTACAGGTATTTAGGATTATTTACACATTTATCAAAGAAGATCAAAATTCTCACAACTGAACCAATATGTGACATTATGCCAAAGTTTGAAGCTGTCCAGGATTTTGTCTTGTTTGAATGCACAGCCATTGCTCATGGACGCAGCATTCAAAATTCAAGTTGCATTCGGTAAATCTGCTCCATAAGACCTCTTTAGGGTATTGAAAGTCAAGGCTATTTGATGACCAAGGTGTGCCTGGCCCAAGCCCTGGTCTTTTCCAGTACGTCACAGGCACGTGACAATTAGACATTGAACAGAGAAGACTGAAGACGCATGGGTGCATTTGAATTGTGGTGCTGGAGAAGGACCCTGAAAGTCCCATGGACTGCGGAAAAAGGCACAGAGGCCTGTCCTGGAAGAAGCATGGCCAGTGTTCCCGAGAGACAAGGACAGCGACCCTTCA